AAAGTCCCAACAGCTAAGTGTAAAATAGGCAAGTACACATAGTATCTACATGACAGGAAAGCTGGATGGCCAATGATGCAACTTTGTCATAGATTCTGCATCTCAGCAAACCCTTGTGAGTATCAACGTGCTGGATCTCAAAGGAGTACCAGAAGCTGTACAGAAGCACTGTGTTGTGACAGGACATTATGCAAGGTTGTAGAGACCAGTGTGGGTAACTATAGAGCTCATGATCACGAAGAACAGACAGAAAGTATACTTGGCTGACATTGAAGACCATTGCATATTAGAATTGGACAATTTACTACCGAGGAAGTTTATAGTTAACTTTGATAAAATGACGATAGGAAACAACAAAGGGCAAATTGCAGTAAGTGTTTCTGCATCTGTTGATTTGCATGTCACAGCACTTAAGTCAACTACAATACCCCCTATGTCAGAGAAGATAATTTTGGGTAGAATAAAAGAACATCCCCAAGGAAGCCCAAAGCTTGTAGAAGCAGTGGAAGACCCATCCAGGCCAGTGGATGTGAATATTGGAAGGTCACTTATGGCAGGTCATCAAGTAGTACCTATAAAAATAGCAAATTTCTCTAAATGTGAGCAGGCACTTAAGGAAGGGGCATTGTTGGGTGTGTGCCAGGAGGTAGAGCCAGTCAATGTCAAAGCAAGAAATACAACCATAAAGAAAGGACATACACTCCTAGAACATTTAACTGACCTCTATAACCAGAGCACAGTCCATTTGTCATCATCACAGGCTCTTCAGGTTAGGGAACTTTTGGCGAATTATGCAGACGTCTTTTCCAAAGGAGATCATGACCTCGGCTACACAGACCTTGTGGAGCAGAGAATAAGCACAGACAAGCACCATTCCATAAATATCCCTCCGAGGAGAATAGCTCCGGCAAAGTGACAAGAGTTGGAGAAGGTCATGGATAGCCTAATTAAGGAAGGGATAGTCGAGAAATCAGATAGTCCCTGGTCAGCTCTCGTCATGTTAGTCCAGAAAAAGGATGGGACCCAACATTGCTGTGTGGACTTTAGAACTCTTAATAGTATAAACGAAAAAATACACACACCTACTGCCAAGAATTTATGATAATCTTGATGCCCTAAGTAAAGCTAGGTGGTTTTCAACTCTAGACTTATAGTCAGGTTTCCATAAAGTGAAAATGGCTGAAGCAGATCAACCTAAAACTGCATTTAGTTATGGCTAAGGTCTCTGACAATACCGTGTGATGCCATTCGGGCTTAGCAATGCTCCAGCAACATTTGAGAAGCTGATGGAAAGAGTATTGGAAGGCTTAAAATGGAAGATAGCCCTAGTGTACCTGGATGATGTCATTGCGTTTGCAACAACGTTTGATGAGGAAATGTCCTGGCTAGAAGAAGTACTTATGCATTTGAAAGCAGCAAAACTCAAACTCCAACCCAAGAAATGCCACTTGTTCCAGGAAGAGGTGCTTTACTTGAGTCACATTGTAAGTGAGCATGTTGTGTGAACAGATCCTGACAAGGTGAAAGCCATGCATCATTGGCCAACACCAGAAAATGTTGGAGAGTTAAGAAGTTTCTTGGGACTCTGTACTTATTA